TTTGCAGATTTGTCCTCAGATTCTGCCGCTGGAACTGTGTTAGTGGAGGGTGAGACCGCTGTAGATGTCTTCCGCCTCCACGTCCTCCTCCCACGTCCTCCACCCCGTCCTCTACCAGTTCTGACAGATGTGTTCCCTGCTGTTCGTACTTCGGCGCAGTAGGTGATCAGGTGCAGTGATAGTTCCCTGATCATTAACTGCACCGTTCTCTGGTGGAGAAACTCCTGGCTCAGAACTTGCTGACGAAGCACTGCTACCAGATTCTAGAATAATGTCGCAGGTGTGCTGACAGGTTGTAGGATCAGAGATGGTATGTGCACTGTCAAGTAGACTGGCAGTGGCTGAAGCAGAGATGTCGGTGTAGGAGAATTAACAGATCCCAAGGCTTCCCTCGTTGCTGGGAAGAGGATTTGTTCCCTCTGTGGTGGTCAGAGGAATAGTGTTAGAATTCCAAAGGTAGTGTTTTGAACTCTGTCAGTCTGTGGGACCTTAGCGATGACAGAATTCCACCAGTTGTTTACCCCTGAGTTAAGCTCAGTGTGGGACTTCCAGTCTTTGTCAATAGTGTCACCATCAGCTGAGCAGCTTACGTCACTTGATGCAGGCTTGCACTGGCCTTCTACAATAGCTTGTAGGTTATCTATTGATTTGAGGAGCTCATGAAGTGCTTCTCTGTGATGGATTATCTTAGCTACAGCTTTACAACACAGCCCAAGAGGGCAGTCTTGATCTTTGGACAGGAGTCCCTGAGGTAGGACTTCTGAACCTTCCTCCTGTAGCTCCAGGCTTGTATCCACATATACCACAGGATTATGGATATCCTTAAATTTTCTGAAATTTTCAACCTCTCTCTCTCTCTCTCTCTCTCTCTCTCTCTCTCTCTCTCTCTCTCTCTCTCTCTCTCCCACTCTCTCTCCATCTCACTCTCCTCTCTCTCTACCCTACCACTCTCCCCCTCCCTCGCTCCTCTCTCTCTCGCCACCTTTTTCTCAACCCCCCTTTTCTCCCTCTCTTTCTCTCCCCCTCTCTCTCCCTCTCCCCTTCTTTCTCCCTCTTTGCCTCTCTCTCTCCTTCCCCTTATTCCCCTCTCTCTCCCTCTCCCCATCTCTCTCAACCCGCCACAGAACAACAGGAGGCTATGAGAAGAATATGAAGAGAACAACAGAGCAATGGTGGACACACTAAGGTGGCCAGAAGGGCTCACTTGCGTAGGGAAAATTTACTAGTCATGGGTGATTTCAATCACAAGGCTACTGACTGGGAAAACATGGAGCCGCATGGGGGACCCGAAACATGGATAGCCAAGATGTTGGAGGTGGTACTGGAAAATCTCATGCATCAACATGATAGTGACACTGCCAGACAGACGGGGAAGAGGATGAACCAGCAAGGATGGCCCTCCTACTTACCTTGAGTATTTCAGACATTAAAAACATCACATACGAAAAGCCCCTCACAGCTGGTGATTCTGAGCTTCATAAATAGAGTTACAAGTAGAGAGGGAAGCAGGAGGAGTTGGACAGAAGCCACTTTATAAAAGGGAGGACTACAAAGGGATGAGGAATTTTCTGCTAGAGGTTCAGTGGAAAAGAGAATGTGTGGGAAAATCAGTAAATGAAATTATAGACTTCGTGACACCAAAATGCATGGAGACAGAGGAGAGGTTCGTTCCCAAGGGCAACAGAAAGAATGGGAAGACCAGAACGAACCAGAATGGCTAGAGAATGGCAAATGGCAATGGCGCTCCACCACATCACTTTCTAGGCTATTCCATGGCCTGACTACTCTATGACTGAAGAAATACTTCCTAACATCCCTTTGATTCATCTGAGTCTTCAACTTCCAATTGTGACCTCTTGTGTCTGTGTCACATCTCTGGAACATCCCGTCTTTGTCCACCTGTGTGTGTGTGTGTGTGTGTGTGTGTGTGTGTGTGTGTGTGTGTGTGTGTGTGTGTGTGTGTGTGTGTGTGTGTGTGTGTGTGGTGTGTGTGACTCAACAATCAATATTTGCACCAATAACTCATTACAGTTGTGACCGGGTGTGGAAGTGTGAATTGCTCATTACTCTATAATTTGTTCATGATTGTAGCCAAAGTATAAACGTAAGTAACCATTCTACAGAATTCATTACCTTTGTAACTTGTGAGCTCATTACCTTTGTACCTAGTTCAGCTATCAAAACTTTGGGGGCCCAGTCCCTGGACCCATTACTTACCTCTGTAATCTGTAAATACCTTTGTAACTTGTCATGATTGTGACCAGACTTACCTGGAGTTCATTACCTTTGTAAATTGTGAGTTCATTACCTTTGTAAATTGTGAGTTCATTACCTTTGTAAATTGTGAGTTCATTACCTTTGTAAATTGTGAGTTCATTACCTCTGTAACTTGCTCAGCTATCAAAACTTTGGAGTCCAGTCCCTGGACCAATTATGTACCTCTGTAATCTTTTGACTACCGCCCACAGGATGGGTATTGGGTGCATAATAAACATATTAAACTATTAAACTAACGCTAGAGAATGGCAAAAGTATAGATGACAAAGGACTCAGGAAAATAGAGACATTTGTAGAAGAGCCAGAAACGAATATTAACAGATAAGGAGAGACGCCCAACAGCAATATGTAAATGACATAGCATGGAAAGCCAAGTCGGACCTGAAGTTGCTGTATAGCGATATTAGGAGCAAAACAACATTCAAGGAGCAGGTAATAAGACTGATGAAGGATGGTTAACATGAAATGACCGAGAACTATGTGAGGAGCTCAAAATGAGATTTAAAGAAGTATTTACAATGGAGACAGGAAAGACTCCAGAGAGCTGGAATAGTGGGGTACACAAACAAGGTATACACCAACAAGTGCTGGATGAAATACACACAAGCAAGGAGAAGGTGAAGCTGCTAAGTGAACTAGATACCAGACATCTCTCTGTGGGTCCTCAGAGAGGGACCAGAGATGCTGCATGTGCCAATAACAACAATCTTCAGCACATCCATTGAAACTGAACAACTACATAAGGTGTGGAAGACTACAAATGTAGTCCAAATTTTTAAGAAAGTAGATAGATACGAGGGAATAAATTACAGACCAGCGTCAGTGACATGTATAGTAAGCAAAGTCTTGGAGAAGATTATCAGAGAGTGGTGGAGCACCTAGAAAGGAACGAGCTTATACAAGACAAACAGCACGCCTTCAGGGAAGGAAAATCCTGTGTCAAAAACCTATTAGAATTATATGACAAGGTAATGGGAGTAGGAAAAGGGAGAAAAGGGTGGGTAGACTGCATTTTCTTGGATTGTAAGAAGGCTTTCGACACAGTTCCACACAAGAGATTAGTGCAAAAGCTTAAGGATCAGGCACGCATAACAAGTAAGCCACTGCAATGGAACGGCGGATACCTGACAGGGAGGCGACAACGACTCATGGTACGTGACGAGGTGTCAGAGTGGGAGCTTATGACGAGCGGAGTACCACAGGAGTCAGTCCAAGGACCGGTGGTGTTTCTGTGTATGTGAATGACGTGACGGAAGAGGTGTCAGAAGTGTCCCTGTTTGCAGATGATGTGTAGTTAATGACGAGAGTTAAATCGGATGAGGATCAAGCAGGACTATAAGAGGGACCTGGACAGGCATCAAGCCTGGTACAGCAACTGGCTCCTGGAATTGAACCACGCCAAATGCAAACTCATGAAGATCGGGGAACGGAAAAGAAGACCGCAGACAGAGTACAGGCTAGGGGGCTAAAGACTGAAAACTTCAATCAAGGAAAAGGATCTTGGGGTGAGTGTAATACCGAGCACATCTCCTGAGGCTCACATCGACCAGATAACTGCTGCAGCATACGGGCGCCTGGCAAACCTAAGAATAGAGTTCCAACACTTCAGTAAGGAATCATTCAAGACTGTACACCTTGTACGTCAAGCTCATACTGGAGTATGCAGCACCAGTTTGGAACCCACACCTGGTCAAGCATGTCAATAAACTAGAGAAAGTGCAAAATTTGCAACAAGACTAGTTCCGGATCTAACGGGAATGTCCTACGAGGAATGGTTAAGGGAAATCGACCTCAGAACACTGGAGGACTGGAGGGATAGGGAGACATGATAACGACATCTAAAATATTGCGAGGAATTGATAATGTGGGCAAAGACAAGATGTTCCAGAGATGGAACAAAGCAACCAGGCGCCGCATTTATAAGATTAAAATTCAAATGAGTCAAAGGGATGTCAGGAAGCATTTCTTCAGTCACAGAGGTTTCAGGAAATGGAATAGTCTGGAAAGTGATGTAGTGCAGGCAGGACCAATACATAGCTTTAAAAAGAGGTATGACGAAGCTCATGGAGCATGGAGAGGGTGGACCTAGTAGCGACCATTGAAGAGGCGGAGCCAGGAGCTGTCTAGACCCCTGCTACCACATTTAGGTGAGTACATACAAATGTTCAGTAGAGTCTTCAGAATTATGCCGCCATAATTATTATGTATGTATCTTCTTTAGTCTAATTGTTAAAATAACGCGAAAATATCTTGATTTATATTATTAGTTGTTTTGTACGTTTAGCTTCGTGACTGTAAAGTTAGGATTTGACGGACTACCTGGCTACCTGGTGCATGTTGTAAACCAGCATAGGATACCTGGTCATGGACTGGATCGCGGGGGCGTTAACCCCTTATTCACCCTCCAGGCATACCTGAAACTGCATATGCAGCGTCTGGTCCGTTCACTTCCAGGCAATATATGTTTTGAGTTAGTGATTTGACGATTTTTGAGGTTGCCATAAGACTCTCTCTGTGCTTCAGGTCCTGAATATTAACTTTAAACCTACCTTGTTCTGAGGAACATCTACACACTCTCGTAGTCGGAGTTTTAAAAGTTGCTCAACTTAAATTCGTCGGCGCATCACCGTGAACAGCAGAAATCAGAAACCTTATATGTATATATATGAACCTTTGTATATCATTTAAAATAAAGGTTCTCAAGAATTTTGTAGGAAAGTTACCTGTTTTTGTAAAGTCTTGAGCAAGATGATCTCTGATGGCAGTATCGACGTCTATGAGGACATGGTCACCCCGTCGCACCAGTGTGTCTATTGCTTCTGGGAACTGCGGGTGTGTTCTCCAGATGAGTCGACCAACCTTCTCAGCGTCAGCAATATCGCGGTATATGCCAGACTCTGCTGACTGAAACTTTGTTACTTATTATTCAAGTAAAAAAATAAATGAATGGATCAAATGAAACACACACACACACACACACACACACACACACACAGAATTGGTAGGAAAATCAGTAAGCAAAGTGATGGACTACGTGACAACAAAATGCAAGGAGGCAGAGGAGAGGTTTGTTCTCAGGGGCAACAATAATAATGGGAAGGCCAGAACGAGCCCTTGATTTACTCAAGTGTTGGGAGGCAAAAACTAAGTGCGCTCGAGAACGGAAAAAGTACAGAAGACAAAGGACAGAGGAAAATAAAGAGATTAGTCGAAGAGCCAGAAACAAGTATGTACAGATAAGGAGGGAGGTCCAGCGACAGTACGAAAATGACAAAGCATCGAAAGTCAAGTCTGGCCCGAAACTGTTATGTAGCCACATCAGGAGGAAAACATCAGTCAAAGACCAAGTGATCAGGCTGAGGAAAGAGGTGGGGGGAGTTCGCAAGAAACGACCAAGAGGTATGTGAGGAACTCAACATGAGATTTAAGAAAGTATTCACAATAGAGACAGGAAGGACTCCAGGAAGTCAGCATAAGGGAATACACCAACAAGGGATATACCAAAAACTGCTGGATGAAATACACACAACCGAGGAGGAGGTGAAGAAGCTATATGAACTTGACACCTCAAAGGCGGTGGAACCGGACATCTCTCAGGGAGGGAGCAAGGACGTTGTGTGTGCCACTAACCACATATTGCAACACATCCCTTGAATCTGGGCAACTACCTGAGGTATGGACGACAGCAAATGTAGTCCCCATTTATGAGAAAAGAGACAGAAACGAGGCAATAACCATAGACCAGTGTCACTGACGTGTATAATATGCAAAGTAATGGAGAAGATTATGAGGAGGAGAGTGGTGGAGCACTTATAAAGCAACAAGCTTGTAAATGACAACCAGCATGTTGTCAGGGAAGTGAAATCCTGTGTCGCAAACCTACTGGAGTTTTATGGAAAGGTAACAGAAGACACGAGAGAGAGGGGTGGGTTGATTGCATTTTCTTGGACTGCAAGAAGGCCTTCGACACAGTTCCTCATAAGAGATTAGGGCGAAAACTAGAGGATCAGCCACGTATAACAGGAAGAGCACAGCAAAGGATCAGAGAATACATGACAGGGATTAAACAACGAGTCATGGTACGTGATGAGGTATCACAGTGGGCATCTGTGACGAGCGGGGTCCCACAGGGGTCGGTCCTAGGACCAGTACTATTTTTGGTATATGTGAATGACATGATGGAAGGGATAGACTCAGAAGTGTCCCTGTTCGCAGATAATATGAAGTTAATGAGGAGAATTAAACCATATAAGAATCAGGCAGGACTACAAATAGACCTGGACAGGCTGCAAGCCTGGTCCAGCAACTGGCTCCTCGAATTTAACCCCGTCGTCATGAAGATCGGGAAAGGGCAAAGAAGACCGCAGACAGAGTATAGGCTAGGTGGCCAAAGACTGCTAACCTCACTCATGGAGAAAGATCGTGGGGTGAGTATAATACCGAACACGTCTCCGGAAGCACACATCAACCAGTTAATTTTTTTTTCGCTGGTATTCTCCCGGCCCGGGCCTTTTCCAAGTGGTGGTCCGGCCTTGGCTCCTTGTCTAGGGAGTGTCTGAGACCTAAGTCTTCCGTGGGAAGAGGCACAAGTACCCTCCTCATCTTTGGGATCAACTGTCCTCAGGCCTTGCCACATTCCCCGCCCTCACGGGGCTCGTAGGGAGAAGCTAGGCCTCTCTGGTCTGTCATCCCCGCCACAAGGGGGTTAATGGGAATGACAGTCTTGTGAGCTGCAAGCTCTGGCTCAGGCACCTACCCTGCCCTAGAAGGGCTGGGCATGGTGTCGATCAGTACAAAATAACTGCTGCAGTATTTGGGCGCCTGGCAAACCTGGGAATAGCCTTCCGATACCTCAGTAAGGAATAGCTCAAGACACTGTACACCGTGTACGTCAGGCCCATACTGGAGTATGCAGCACCTGTTTGGAACCCACACCTGGTCAAGCGTGTCAAGAACTTAGAGAAAGTGCAAAGGTTTGCAAAAAGGCTAGTTCCAGAGCTAAGGGGAATGTCCTACGAAGAAAAGTTAAGTGAAATCGGCCTGACGACACTGGAGGACAAGTGGGTTAGGGACGACATGATAACGACACAAAATACTGCGAGGAATAGATAAGGTGGACAGAGACAAGTTGTTCTATAGAAATGGGACATATAAACAAGAGGTCACAATTGGAAGTTGAAGAATCAGATGAGTCAAATGGATGTTAAGAAGAATTTCTTCAGTCATAGAGTTGTCAGGAAGCGGAAAAGTCTGGCAAGTGATGTAGTGGAGGCAGGAAAAATACATAGTTTTAAGACGAGGTATGATAAAGCTCATGGAGCAGGGAGAGAGAGGACCTAGTATCGACCAATAAAGAGGTGCGGCCAGGAGCTGAGTGTCGACCCCTGCGACCACAAACAGGTGAGTATAAATAGGTGATTACACATACACACACACAAAATAAATCCCTATTTTATAGAGAATAGCTTTCATCGAACTTCAGGTTTTTTGCATTAAGACTCATAGTATGTTAAGGAATGTAGAAGATTATCAGGAAGGAAGTATTGGAGCAGCTGGAAAGAAGAGGATTAATTAAGAACAAACAGTTCGGTTTTCGAAATTGCAATCCCTGTATTACGATCACTGGTACACAATAAAGGTCTGCTGTACCTGACCGTAAATCAAGTTTCTAGACAAGGAACTCTCTAGTCTAATAAAGGCAAAGGTGAAAGTTAAGACGCATATGCAACATCTGGATATCCTTATTGTTCTATGTCCCTTCTATACAAGGTGGGTTGGCATGTGCGTGTCCTTCAATCAGAGTTCAATACTCTGAACAAATCAACTACAATCACTGAGTCTAAAGGATACCTCACTTATCACAGGTTTGGCAGAACTCCTAAATATTTCTAAAATTATGAGATATATCGGAAACAGCAGGATGAAGATCATTGTAGTGCTTACGAGGTGTGAGAATGATAATGCTTAACAAAGAAGTCGACTTCCTTCACTTTATGATGCAGCTCAGTACTAATGCATATTGTAGATACGTTTTCACGCTTTTACGATTTCCATTTTGCAGAAATGTAATAATGTAAAATGTTGGAGATGTGGGATAATATCTTCAGTTGCCGCTTCCTCGTTGCAGTCGCAAAAAAAAACTTACATCCAAATGTATATTGTTTATATTTTTAAACTACTCATTCCATTAGAATTGTTTGTAATAACTAGGTAAAGCATCTCAAAGACGAGTAACTTAGATTGATATCAGTCTCTGACACCTGCGACAATACCTTATGTAGCTGCCGCCGGTGTGTGTACTCACCTATATGTGTTCACATATGTATTGTTGCAAGGGTCGAGTTACAGCTCCTGCCCCGCCTCTTTGCTAGCCCCTACTAGATCACTTTCTACCCCACTTCTAGAGTCTTATCATACCTCTTCTCACAGCTATGTATGGATCCTGCCTCCACTACTTTACTCTCCAGATTATTCCACTTCTGACAACTCTAAGACTAAAGAATATTTTATCACGTGTTCCTAAGTAGCGTAACATTCAAGTGCATTATATAAAATTTTCTTATTCATTTTTGTTCTGTAAAAATAATAAATGTTTTAAATTTCTACGTACTTTTACACTATTGTTTATAAAGAAATGTTTCTCGCATACAATGATGGTAAATCAAAGTTCCTTTTATCTCCTGACTCACCTTTAAATAAGGGCCAACGGCAGAGCCTTTGGACCATATCATTGTAACTGAAGGATCGTCAACAACGTCCCTCAGCGTCTGGTAGGGCTGAGAGATGTGTCTTACTGCTAGGAGAGCCATTAGATTACCAGCGTAACTCCTTGTTAATACCAACGTTACCATCATCCATACCAACAACATTACCCGCTCCCTCCAATAGATGGGCACTACCACATCTGTGTTAATTACAGGAATAACTCAATGTTAACATCAGCAACAACATTATCCACAGTTAACAAAACTGTTGCACTTACTTCCGGCACAGTCGTCGTCATTTCTGTAATGATAGTAATAAAATATATTATTAATCAAATGGTTTACTTAGACTGCAAGTAAATGAAGAGGGAAAGAAAGAATTTTTTTTTTGATATTTGCCGGTTGTCACACAGTGTATCTGCTCTTGTTGATCTCTGTTGAGAAGTTTCTGTCTCCATTGGAATCTCCAAGTGGTCACTTACCATAAGTCTGGAGTAACCACCATCAGTAGATAGTAGGGAAGTTATCATCAGTGAGGAATGTGCATGACTTACGGAATCGTAATGATACGATTGCAAACAAACCATACCACGGGCGGGGATAGTACCTGCTAACGCGACGGTCTTGAGTTTTGAGACTCTCAGATCGCGGGTTCTATCCCCGCCCGTGGTATGGTTATGAATGTACAAGTGTACATGCAGTCAGTATGAACGTAACTTCTGTACCAGACAAGGAGAAGGTAGTCTAGAGACGGACAGAATACCAATGATTCTGTAATTCAGTACCTTGTGTAGTATATATGTTGTGGTGAATACGTAAAACTGGTCATTTAGCAAGAACTCATTTAAAATTAACCAATTTCTAAAACTTTCTATTATTCGTTTAAAGATCAATTTTTTTTCATTTATGTTTTTGCAAAACTTAATAATTATTTACCAAAAAAAAAATTAGAAAACTTACCTAACCTTATTATAACAAGCGCAATTTATTGTAGCAAAATCCAATTAAATAAATTTTGGATAAGTTCACATTAGTTTAATAATAAACAAACACAATTAAATATATATTTTTCGTTACGTTCGAAATAATTTTTGCGAAATTATTTTCGCTTGCCTTATTCACCAAGTAGAGCATTGCTATTTAAGCCAAAATCGTAAGTTTTACCTATTCGGCAACATATACATACATTATATATATATATATATATATATATATATATATATATATATATATATATATATATATATATATATATATATATATATATATATATATATATATATATATATATATATATATATATATATATATATATATATATATATATATATATATATATATTATATATATATATATGTTGATTTCGGCAAATACTTACTGTGTCTTGGACATAAATCTTCTTGTTTATACACAAGTGAATTGATTATATTCCTAACACGTCTATACCAGTTTTCTTCTTTGAGACGCATGATGGTTGAGTGTGCACATGACCACCAGTGTGCACATGACCACCAGTGTGCACATGACCACCAGTGTGTACATGACCACCAGTGTGCACATGACCACCAGTGTGCACATGACCACCAGTGTGCACATGACCACCAGTGTGTACATGACCACCAGTGTGCACATGACCACCAGTGTGCACATGACCACCAGTGTGAACATGACCACCAGTGTGCACATGACCACCAGTGTGCACATGACCACTAGTGTGCACATGACCACCAGTGTGCACATGACCACCAGTGTGCACATGACCACCAGTGTGCACATGACCTCCAGTGTGCACATGACCACCAGTGTGCACATGACCACCAGTGTGCGCATGACCACCAGTGTGCACATGACCACCAGTGTGCACATGACCACCAGTGTGCACATGACCACCAGTGTGCACATGACCACCAGTGTGCACATGACCACCAGTGTGCACATGACCACCAGTGTGCACATGACCACCAGTGTGCACATGACCACAAGTGTGCACATGATCACCAGTGTGCACATGACCACCAGTGTGCACATGACCACCAGTGTGCACATGACCACCAGTGTGCACATGACCACCAATGTGCACATGACCACAAGTGTGCACATGACCACCAGTGTGCACATGACCGCCAGTGTGCACATGACCACCAGTGTGCACATGACCACGTGTGTGCACATGACCACCAGTGTGAACATGACCACGTGTGTGCACATGACCACCAGTGTGCACATGACCACCAGTGTGCACATGACCACCAGTGGGCACATGACCACCAGTGTGCACATGACCACCAGTGTGCACATGACCACCAGTGGGCACATGACCACCAGTGTGCACATGACCACCAGTGTGCAGATGACCACCAGTGTGCACATGACCACCAGTGTGCATATGACCACCAGTGTGCACATGACCACCAGTGTGCGCATGACCACCAGTGTGCACATGACCACCAGTGGGCACATGACCACCAGTGTGCACATGACCAACAGTGTGCACATGACCACCAGTGTGCGCATGACCACCAGTGTGCACATGACCAACAGTGTGCACATGACCACCAGTGGGCACATGACCACCAGTGTGCACATGACCACCAGTGTGCAGATGACCACCAGTGTGCACATGACCACCAGTGTGCATATGACCACCAGTGTGCACATGACCACCAGTGTGCGCATGACCACCAGTGTGCACATGACCAACAGTGTGCACATGACCACCAGTGTGCACATGACCACCAGTGTGCGCATGACCACCAGTGTGCACATGACCACCAGCGCGCACATGACCACAATTATCTGGCATTAGGGGAGTGTAAGTATTTATCGTTTTTAAAACTTGGTGCAATAAGGACCGCTGTACCTTAACAGTGGAGACAGATAAGACCCCTGCAATAAGGACCGCTGTACCTCCACAGTGGAGACAGATAAGACCCCTGCAATAAGGAACGCTGTACCTCCACAGTGGAGACAGATAAGACCCCTGCAATAAGGAACGCTGTACCTCCACAGTGGAGATAGATAAGACCCCTGCAATAAGGACCGCTGTACCTCCACAGTGGAGATAGATAAGACCCCTGCAATAAGGAACGCTGTACCTCCACAGTGGAGACATAAGACCGCTGCAATAAGGAACGCTGTACCTCCACAGTGGAGACAGATAAGACCCCAGCACTAAGGAACGCTGTACCTCCACAGTTGAGACAGATAAGACACATGCAATAAGGAGCGCTGTACCTCCACAGTGGAGACAGATAAGACCCCTGCAATAAGGAACACTGTACCTCCACAGTGGAGACAGATAAGACCCCCGCAATAAGGAACGCTGTACCTCCACAGTTGAGACAGATAAGACCCCTGCAATAAGGAACGCTGTATACCTCCACAGTGGGGACAGATAAGACCCCTGCAATAAGGAACGCTGTACCTCCACAGTGGAGACAGATAAGACCCCTGCAATAAGGAACGCTGTATACCTCCACAGTGGAGACAGATAAGACCCCTGCAACAAGGAAAGCTGTACCTCCACAGTGGAGACAGATAAGACCCCTGCAATAAGGAACGCTGTATATCTCCAGAGTGGAGACAGATAAGACCCCTGCAATAAGGAACGCTGTACCTCCACAGTGGAGACAGATAAGACCCCTGCAATAAGGAAAGCTGTACCTCCACAGTGGAGACAGATAAGACCCCTGCAATAAGGAACGCTGTATACCTCCAGAGTGGAGACAGATAAGACCTCTGCAATAAGGAACGCTGTACCTCCACAGTGGAGACAGATAAGACCCCTGCAATAAGGAACGCTGTACCTCCACAGTGGAGACAGATAAGACCCCTGCAATAAGGAACGTTGTACCTCCACAGTGGAGACAGATAAGACCCCTGCCATAAGGAACGCTGTACCTCCACAGTGGAGACAGATAAGACCCCTGCCATAAGGAACGCTGTACCTCCACAGTGGAGACAGATAAGACCCCTGCAATAAAGAACGCTGTACCTCAACAGTGGAGACAGATAAGACCCCTGCAATAAGGAATGCTGTACCTCCACAGTGGAGACAGATAAGACCCCTGCAATAAGGAACGCTGTACCTCCACAGTGGAGACAGATAAGACCCCTGCAATAAGGAACGCTGTACATCCACAGTGGAGACAGATAAGACCCCTGCAATAAGGAACGCTGTACCTCCACAGTGGAGACAGATAAGTCCCCTGCAATAAGGAACGCTGTACCTCCACAGTGGAGACAGATGAGACCCCTGCAATAAGGAACGCTGTACCTCCACAGTGGAGACAGATAAGACCCCTGCACTAAGGAACGCTGTACCTGTCAGCATAGTTCCTGATCCCTGTATTCCCAGTATTATATAGCATAGCATATTAGTATCATCCATGTGCTTTAGATACGAGATCCCTTGTAGGCATGTGGCTTTGTGTGACGTCACGGGATGCAGATGTGTAGGCTCATACCTCTGCCCCGGTCTCACTCGGCGGCAGACCATTCAGCGGACAGGCAAGTCAGCTGGGCTCCATCCCTCATCTCAGTCTGACAATATATAGACACCATCCTACAAGTGTGTCTACCTTCAACCTACGATATCTCCATTTAAGAACCCTTTACGACATACCTCCACAGTGGAGATAGATAAGACCCTGCAATAAGGAACGCTGTACCTCCAGAGTGGAGATAGATAAGACCCCTGCAATAAGGAACGCTGTACCTCCACAGTGGAGACAGATAAGACCCCTGCAATAAGGAACGCTGTACCTCCACAGTGGAGACAGATAAGACCCCTGCAATAAGGAACGCTGTACCTCCACAGTGGAGACAGATAAGACCCCTGCAATAAAGAACGCTGTACCTCAACAGTGGAGACAGATAAGACCCCTGCAATAAGGAACGCTGTACCTCCACAGTGGAGACAGATAAGACCCCTGCAATAAGGAACGCTGTACCTCCACAGTGGAGACAGATAAGACCCCTGCAATAAGGAACGCTGTACCTCCACAGTGGAGACAGATAAGACCCCTGCAATAAGGAACGCTGTACCTCCACAGTGGAGACAGATAAGACCACTGCAATAAGGAACGCTGTACCCCCACAGTTGAGACAGATGAGACCCCTGCAATAAGGAACGCTGTACCTCCACAGTGGAGACAGATAAGACCCCTGCAATAAGGAACGCTGTACCTCCACAGTGGAGACAGATAGGACCCCTGCAATAAGGAACGCTGTTCCTCCACAGTGGAGATAGATAAGACCCCTGCAATAAGGAACGCTGTACCTCCACAGTGGAGACAGATAAGACCCCTGCAATAAGGAACGCTGTACCTCCACAGTGGAGACAGATAAAACCCCTGCAATAAGGAACGCTGTACCTCCACAGTGGAGACAGATAAGACCCCTGCAATAAGGAACGCTGTACCTCCACACTGGAGACAAATAAGACTTCTGCAATAAGGAACGCTGTACCTCCACAGTGGAGACAGATAAGACCCCTGCAATAAGGAACGCAGTACCTCCACAGTGGAGACAGATAAGACCCCTGCAATAAGGAACGCTGTACCTCCACAGTGGAGACAGATAAGACCCCTGCAATAAGGAACGCTGTACCTCCACAGTGGAGACAGATAAGACCCATGCAATAAGGAACGCTGTACCTCCACAGTGGAGACAAATAAGACCCCTGCAATAAGGAACGCTGTACCTCCACAGTGGAGACAGATAAGACCCCTGCAATAAGGAACGCTGTACCTCCACAGTGGAGACAGATAAGACCCCTGCAATAAGGAACACTGTACTTCCACAGTGGAGATAAATAAGACCTTCATCCATAACCTTAATTCCTTCATAAAATATAGACCTTTCTTGATGCCTGTAACAACTGTGAGCATTTTCTTCTTCCCATAATTTTTATTTTACCTCTTAACTCATACGTATTTAATACAATATCACTTAATCATCCCTATCTTTTTTCTCTCTCTCGTAACTCACATTAATGGAGGGGAAAAAGTTATCCTCTGAGATACCAACTTTCCTGCTCACAATACCACGTCTGTCTTTACCAATCTTTCTGATTTCATTGAGTTTTAATACGTTTAATCAGATAATTGTTTTATCATGTTTTCCGAGTGATGAATTAAACCTGTGAGGGATATCAGTGTTCGCCAGTATAACTGATTTAATTGTTCTCTTACGATACTCAATGTGAAGACTTCTTTTATTTGCAAGAAAATTTGACGAAACTTAAATGTTACTTTTTGTAAAGTACAGAAGATATAAATAGTTTCTGATGTGGTACTTCAACAATGACATTATTAGAAATATATATATATATATATATATATATATATTATATATATATATATATATATATATATAATATATATATATATATATATAATATATATATATATATATATATATATATATATATATATATATATATATAATATTTATATATATATATATATATATAATATATATATATATATATATTTATATATATATATATATATATATATATATATATATATATTCTATTTTCAGAAACCAAAAATCAATCAATCATTCAAGTTTATTCTCTATAAAGATTACAATGTGTGGTTTACGTATTATAGAATATTGGTTAAAATTCGTAGTTTACGTATTATAGAATACTAATTACAGAGAGGGCCAGCATCACACCTAGCAGGTCGGGCAGACTAAGATTAATTCAAACTATATTGGTACAGGTTATGGAGCATATTGATATTAAAGCTTTGTAACTGCATTACAGTTCGTAAATTTAACAATGAGAATGCTTTTGTCTTGGCACGATACATAGTTGCGATTAAAGTTCCTGTATTGCAATTTTTCAGGCAAACTTATGACTAGTTTAAGATTCATTAGGTAATAGTTTTATAACGTATTTCTATGTTTATTAACGTCGTTCTGTTCATACCTTGCTGCAGTAGAATGCGAACAAAGCCGAAGGTGACCTGTAACCAGTTCCTCTGCTCATGAATCCTGTTGCATGCACTCAAGGACATGAAGAACAGTGTTGCAGCAAGCACCATCAGCGCCGCCAGGATGGCCGCCCACACCAGCGGTGCCAGGGGAAACAGGAAGCCCCAGGGATCCACCTCAGGGCGTCCACGAGCTGCCAGAATCCTCCTTAATCTATCAGTATTGGCACTGTGAAGTCTACCACCTCTGCTCTCCATCTATCAGTCATGTAAGGGCCAGCACCGATGTCTACTTCCTGTTCAAGAAAGGGATGTAAAACTGGCACTTAATGAACACTCGAGTGAAAAACGATTTAATAATACATATAATGTTCTTCAGAGATGTAAGAACCTTCAAAAGACGAAAAAATTATCACAGTTTAACTAGCTAAAAATAACATTTTCATATGAACAATGTGAACATCAGAGGAACATTTAGTTTACATGTCTGGAGGATATTAAGCGATTGTGTGGGACTTTTAATATCAGGCAAAATAAAAGAAGGAAGGTAATATTAAATTTAGTGGTGCATAAGAAACCTTCAGAAGTGTAAGAGTTCACTTACCTGCCTCATCACCATTCCTACCATGCCAGTCCATGATCCGTTATTAAGCTTAATGCCACTTTCTCCGTCTGATGACCGCACGTAGCAGTAACTGCTGACAGACATACAACTGGCTTAGAAAAACTCGTAAGCAAACGGACATATTTATTAGAAAACGTTTCGGTCCTGAGAAGTGATCAAGATCTCAGGACCGAAACGTTTTCCGATAAATATGTCCTAGTATTTGCTTACGTGTTTTTCTAGACCAAAGTATCGGTATTTATTACCAAGGTTTATACCATATATATAACTGTTGAAGTTAACTTCTGTGTTACACAGTAATTCACTACATATTAAGGCACTACAACGACATTTAAAGTCTACTTGAAATCACAAAATCGCAAAAGTAACAAATTTGAGTAATGAAAGTTCATAAGTGAGGTGAGCTGGATGTTGTCAAGAGAGCTTTCTAATGTTTAGATTTAGATTTACACTAGATTTTTAAAAGACTTTGCCGGGATATATACACCGATAGGTGTAATGTTTATCAGTGTATGTAAATGGAAACATAAACACATATGCAGTTTAATGTGATCCTTTATTGACAACGTTTCGCCCACACAGTGGGCTTTTTCAAGTCACACACAGATCTACCTGGGGTGGAAGGTACGGGAGTATTTATAGTCATGTTCAGAATGTTGAGGTCAGGTGGAGAATGCTGCATCTGATGATGTGAATTACGGTGTTGTACACAGGCATTCCTTGTATCGTCAGTCCTGCTTGCGTAGTGGTGTTCTGAAATAAGTGTTTGGAGGTCTCTTGATGTTTCGCCCACGTATAATTTGTTGCAGTCATTACAAGGGATTATGTATACCCCTGCAGAGGATGGAAGCTTGTCCTGTCTACTACTGGTGATGTCCTTGATGGTCGTGGTTGTGGAGGTAGATACTTCGAATGATGTATTGGAAAAGATGTTGGAAACATGTTTGGCAATGGAGTTGGTGGGGAGGACTATGTATCTCCTCTCGACAGTGTCTTCTCTGGGTGTTTTGAAAATGTTTAATGCCCGTCGTCTGCAGTCTCTGATGAAGTGACGAGGTTAGTGGAGTTTAGAAAATACTTGTTCAATTATAGTGCATTCTTCCTCAAGGAACTCATTGCTGCAGATTCTGAGTGCGCGCAGAAAGAAGCCTATAATTACACAACGTTTAGTTTTGGTGTCGTGGTGAGAGTAGAAGTGGAGAAGATCGTTTTGGTTGGTTAGTTTTCGATAGACTTTAAAACGAAGTTCATGGTCAGTTTTGCAGAGAAGAACATCAAGGAAAGGAGGAGTGTTGTCGACTTCTTCTTCAAGTGTGAACTGGATTGAGGGCTCGACCTGGTTGAGCTTGTTTGGAGAGCTTGAACGCTGAAGCGCCTGGGAGTTATGAGGAGAATGTCGTCAACATAACGGAGCCAAGTGACAGTCGAAGGAATAATGATGGAGAAGCGCTCGGCTTCCAGATGTTCCATGTATAAGTTTGCCAGGACAGCACTGAGTGGCGAGCCCATGGGTAGGCCAAAAGTCTGTTGAAAGAGGTGATTTTCGAAAGAGAAACACGTAAAGCCGACACATAGTTCAACGAGGTCGATGAAATCGCTGGCTGGAATAGGAAGATCAAGTGAATCGTCAATTTTTCTGCGCAGGAGATCGATGGCATGTGTAGTAGGTACTTTGGTGAATAGGGAAGTTACGTCAAGGCTGGAAAGTTTCTTGTTCCTGATGTTGATGTTGCGAATGCGATTGAGAAGATCACCCGAGTGTTTGAGATGTGCTGGACTGATAGTGCCCAAGAGTTTGGAGAGGTGTTTTGCGAGAATTCCTGAGAGTTGGTGGGGAGCACTGTCTATTCCCGAAGATATGGGCCTCAATGGGATACCAGGCTTGTCAGTTTTTGGTAGGCCGTACATTCTGGCAGGTCTGGGGTTGCTGGGTATGGTGTGCAGAAGTTTCTTTCATTGTTCCTCAGAATGCGGCGATTCCTTTGAAGAAAAGTTTTAGTAAGGTTGTCCACTTGGTTAGTTGTGAGAGGTTTGTAGGTATCTTGGTCATTAAGTAGATTGAGCATTTTGTTCCTGTAGTTGTCAGTGTTCATGATAACAACACCACCTCCTTTATCAGCGGTGGTGACCCTGATGGTCGTGTCTTCTGCTAAACCTTTAAGTGCAATGATGTAACGTCGAGGTATGACTGGGGAGCTGCGTGTAGAGATGGCTGCTGAGATGATGCCTTGAAGAAAACCTTTTTGGAAGTCGGAGTCATTGTGTCTGTAGTTTTTGGCGATGAAGTTGAGGTCTTGTTTTGGTTTCGTAATTCCTGTTGCGAATTTGAGGCCTAGGCTGAGGGCTTCGGTTTCTGTGGTTGATAGTGGACGAGATGAAAGATTTTGAATAATGTCAGGTCTCCCTAAACTTTTTCAATGACTATTATCGCAGAGAGTTTGTAGTTTTCTAGTAAGTCTGATCTTCTGTTGAACATTCACTGTGGTAACTCTGCTGCGGATGATTTCGGCGGTGCGTCTGTTCATGTTGCCCCGGAGTGCTGTGCCTAGTGTTCTGGCTTGGAGAAAAGCTTCCTATGAAGCATTGTTTAAGTCATCTGCACACTCTTCAAGGTAGGTCCGAGCTGTAGCGGAGAAAGGAGGTTTGATGTTGGCAATTTGAGGAGGAGTAGATCTTGGTAAGACCATTTCTTGAATGCAGTCACGAAGAAAATTGTGTCTGTTGCGAAGAGAGTAAGCTTTTAGAAGAAGGTCCAGGTATTCTCTGTGTGAAGGATCCATTTCTACTGCAGTGTTTGACATGATGAAAATAAATGGTATAAAATACCGACACAATGGAAACATAAACACATATGCAGTTTAATGTGATCCTTTATTGACAACGTTTCGCCCACACAGTGGGCTTTTTCAAGTCACACACAGATCTACCTGGGGTGGAAGGTACGGGAGTATTTATAGTCAGGTTCATAATGTAATAAAGTTGGTAGAATTACCGACAATATGTAAAGTAAAAGGACACAAGTGCAACTAATGTGACATTTATTGTGGCAACGTTTCGCTCTCCAGGAGCTTTATCAAGCCATTACAAACAATACATGGACACAGAGGGTATATAAAGGCTCTAAGTGAGGTGCAATACTAGTGAGGTACCATTTCGATGTTCACTAGTGGTAGTAGTAGTAGTAGTAGTAGTAGTAGTAGTAGTAGTAGTAGTAGTAACAAAAATAATACAATATGGAAGAGCAAATAATTCGTACATGAGTAAAAGGATATAAAAGCTATTACTTGGGTAACATAAAAATAGGTTGGACAAATATAGACTGGAAAGAGGCAGGTTTTTTTCGGTGTTCACTCTCTGTAATGTGCTTTGTGTAGTATAACAGGAGAGACTATGTGATGGCAGGGTTTACTGTTTTCAGGAGGATTCTTGCTAAGACTTCGGAGATGGTGAAGCTGCCGTTGTTTTGTTTAATTGTATTCGAAACAGCGATCAGTGCTGATTCAAGGCACTTGCGTCTGCGGAAACCTCGACACCCGCCTCAATGAACACATTTACGCATGTAGGAACGACAACTTAAACAACGCCTGTGTACAACACCGAAATTCCACCAATCATCTCATGAAATTCAGAGACGCCCAATTAGTGATCAAAGAAACTAATTTCCGCAGACGCAAGTGCCTTGAATCAGCACTGATCGCTGTTTCGAATACAATTAAACAAAACAACGGCAGCTTCACCATCTCCGAAGTCTTAGCAAGAATCCTCCTGAAAACAGTAAGCCCTGCCATCACATAGTCTCTCCTGTTATACTACACAAAGCACATTACAGAGAGTGAACACCGAAAAAAACCTGCCTCTTTCCAGTCTATATTTGTCCAACCTATTTTTATGTTACCCAAGTAATAGTTTTTATATCCTTTTACTCATCTACGAATTATTTGCTCTTCCATATTGTATTATTTTTGTTACTACTACTACTACTACTACTACTACTACTACTACTACTACCACTAGTGAACATTGAAATGGTACCTCACTAGTATTGCACCTCACTCAGAGCCTTTATATACCCTCTGTGTCCATGTATTGTTTGTAATGGCTTGATAAAGCTCCTGGAGAGCGAAACGTTGCCACAATAAATGTCACATTAGTTGCACTTGTGTCCTTTTACTTTACAGGTTCATAATGTTGAGGTCAGGTGGAGAATGCTGCATCTGATGATGTACCGGGTGGGGTTATAGAGTCTTGGGTAGCTTGGCAGGGGTATTGGACAAGTTGTGAGTAGACCTTCTGTAGTGTTCTATGTTCTATGTTCAAGACCTCAATTTCATCGCCAAAAACTACAGACACAATGACTCCGACTTCCAAAAAGGTTTTCTTCAAGGCATCATCTCAGCAGCCATCTCTACACGCAGCTCCCCAGTCATGCCTCGACGTTACATCATTGCACTTAAAGGTTTAGCAGAAGACACGACCATCAGGGTCACCACCGCTGATAAAGGAGGTGGTGTTGTTATCATGAACACTGACAACTACAGGAACAAAATGCTCAATCTACTTAATGACCAAGATACCTACAAACCTCTCACAACTAACCAAGTGGACAACCTTACTAAAACTTTTCTTCAAAGGAATCGCCGCATTCTGAGGAACTCAGAACAATGAAAGAAACTTCTGCACACCATACCCAGCAACCCCAGACCTGCCAGAATGTACGGCCTACCAAAAACTCACAAGCCTGGTATCCCATTGAGGGCCATATCTTCGGGAATAGACAGTGCTCCCCACCAACTCTCAGGAATTCTCGCAAAACACCTCTTCAAACTCTTGGGCACTATCAGTCCAGCACATCTCAAACACTCGGGTGATCTTCTCAATCGCATTCGCAACATCAACATCAGGAACAAGAAACTTTCCAGCCTTGACGTAACTTCCCTATTCACCAAAGTACCTACTACACATGCCATCGATCTCCTGCGCAGAAAAATTGACGATTCACTTGATCTTCCTATTCCAGCCAGCGATTTCATCGACCTCGTTGAACTATGTGTCGGCTTTACGTGTTTCTCT